TGCGGGTTTGACTTGTCTTAGTTTCGGCCTTCCTTTGTACCTCAAATTGCAGGAGCACATGGTCACTTGCCCCTAAGGATCCTACCACTTCGACCGCATCGATCAGGTCCTCCGCATTTGTTAGGATGAGATCAAGAGTAGCCAATCCCCTTGTTGCCTCTTCTACTTTCTGGACCATGAAATTGTCTGCAAGGCAAGCGAGGAATTTGTTGGACCTTGTACTCTTGGCCGAGTTTGTTTTCCAGCAAATATCGGGATAGTTGAAATCGCCCATGACTACTACATCTCTTCTCTGTGCCTGTTTGGTCAACTGTTGGCAGAAGACTTCATCAAGTTCTTCCTCCTGGCCTGGGGGTCTGTAGTAGACGCCTACAACGACATCTTTTTGAGTCCCAGTTCCCTTGATTCTTATCCAGATGATTTCAAGCTGGTTTCCCAGATTGCTGTCTTGCATCTCTTCTGCAGCATAAGAGTTTTTGACATATAAGGCTACTCCCCCTCCTCTCCCCTTTGTTCGGTTTCTGTGAAAGAGGTTATACCCCTCGATATTCCAGAGATAGGAGTCATCCCACCAGGTTTCAGTGATCCCTATGATATCATATTTGTGGTGTTGTGCTAAAAGTTGGAGTTTGTCTTGTTTATTTCCCATGCTCTGCATTAGTGTAAAGACATGTGAGCCCCTGAGATCTTCCCTTGAGCTGTTTAATTGGGATTATTGTGCTTTCGGTACTTGGTCCTATCCAATGCAATTTTCTGAATCAGCACCCCAAATAACCAAACCGAATCTAAAGTTGACCAAAATATTTGTAGCCCTATTAGTACTAATGTTGGAGAATGGTCCCTGGTCAAAGTGGTCTCTGTTTAAGTGATTCCTGCTCAAGGTTGGGAACCACTGGTTTAGAATGTGTACACGTTATATGTTGCAGATAAAAGTGTATTATATTTTGTATATAATTAACACTGTTTTCATGGTAGTTTTAATTTCATTTTGTGTTGTTGCGTTTTATAAGAATGTTTTTTTCTTGGTTTGTATATTTGAATAAAAATCATTTACAAAAAAAAGAGAACCAAGAAGCAAATAGCTGCCTAGAATAATAAAGAGAAGACCAGAATATAGGACTTAGGCCAACACAGAACATTCGCATTTATTCTAAAAGCATTTACAGTTTATTCAGGTGAGACCTGTTCTCTCAGCATGCCACTGATATATCAAGCTCTTGGTTTGTATGTTGTTTATTGTTTTTGTTTTTTACTCGGCCCAGGTAATAAAGCTTTCAGGTAACCCCAATATATCTGGACAAAACCAGACTGGCCGTATCTTTATGGCATCCACTGCTTTTTTTTCTACCCATAGCTATAGTACCAGGCACTTTAGGACAATCAGTAATGATTATTAATAATTGTTCAATTTCAAATCCTCTCGAGGAATACTGCTGCCACTCTCCAGTTGAATTTGAGTACATTAAATAAGACCATCCCAAATATCCGCTCCAACTTTGGAGAAAATCTGCCCAGTGCTTTTCATATTCTGTTGTAACAAATATCTATCCAAATTTTTAAGTATTAATGGCTGGACATCTCTACTTATGCAAGTAACAAATGCTTGAAAAATATCTTTTCTCAAATTTGCATATATAAGATACTTAATCTTTGGCTCTGTTAGCTTTAGAGATAGCCACAGGAAGAAGTGAACATGTCATCTCCTCAATGAACTTCCCTTTAGCGCAAAGTAAACATTTTCCTCCACATCAGCTGTAGCCAAGGCATTAGCAGCCCATGGTAATTGATTATCAGTACAGGGTTGCTGAGAAATGGAGTTGTATCTCAGCTTTTTATCACCATGACTTGCAAAGAGCAGGATCCTTATTTACAGGCCCTATCTACATTAAGTGACATTACTAGACCCTTCTTCTATTCAAGCGATACAAGGGCTTAGCATATCAGCGCCTTATGATATTTAAACTGGGTTATTACAATTTACCTGCTGCCATTTTCAGTTGATAAATAGTAACTGCACCAGCTGGACAAATGGTAAACAGAATGCAATGTACATATTATTAAATCACATGCAGATACAATAACACTATATTTGCAGTTTAATATAAATTCTAAACTTGAATTATGACCAATGTACCTAATGTACAAAAGCATTCTAATCTTTTTTTAAAAAGATTTTGTAAATCAGACCTCTTAAAAATATATATTTATCAAAAACTAATACTTCATTTGATTGAATTAGCTTTAAAATACTTGCAGCATTTTGATGTATACATTTCTCCACCCTTAAATAGTGTGTCTTTCTTACTTTCAATCCTACAGATTGCTAAAAATATAAAACAGAAGAATCCCTTAACTCTGGTAATTGTTTTCAAAAGTGAACAAGCACATTTTTTATTTAAAAAGAGAAGTAAAAAGACAAGAGTGACTTTAACCTGAAGAGGAAGTCCACATGAGGTAACTGCAACTATTTAAAAATATGGATCCAAGATACTCTATTTTTGCGATGGCAAACAAACACCACATTAGCAGAGTTGCCCGGTGGCGCAGTGGGTTAAAGCACTGTGCCAGCAGGACTGAAGACCGACAGGTCGCAGATTCGAATCCAGGGAGAGGCGGATGAGCTGCCTCTATCAGCTCCAGCTCCTCATGCGGGGACATGAGAGAAGCCTCCCACAAGGATGATAAAACATCAAAAATCATCCGGGCATCCCCTGGGCAACGTCTTTGCAGACGGCCAATTCTCTCACAACAGGAGCGGTTGCTCCTGACACGACAAGAAAAAAAAAAGCAGAGTTGCTGTGAGCTGAAAGCACAGGGATCACAAGGGATTGGAGTTGCTTATTTATGTTCATACTTTTCATGCTCCTGTCTCCCCATTAAAATGTGCTTTTTTTTTTACCTGAAACTATTTTGAAAGGACAGAAATTGTGTATTAAATTAATTACAGACCATATTTCTCATTCTTCTGTTTGTGGTTTTAGGAGAGAGTTCATTAAAAAAATTGAACTCCCAAACTTGGTGTCCCTGGAATAAAATGGGGAGTAGTTATAGCCTAATGCTTCATTTCAGCTATGCAGAAAAAGAACAGATAACATTTTATGGTGTGTGTAGATGCTTTTAAATATGTGTATTTCTCAGAGCATCCTTAATCTGCCTTCTGTAAGAGTTGGAGAAGAAAACAATGTTCAGAAATTTAGGTTCTGGAGCTTTTTCTCAACCTTTGCTGTGTACTGAGGTTTTTGGCAAGTTATTTTTCTTTTAGCCTTAAATGGATGTGTTCTGACTAGTTATGGCAGCCATCCATGGCACTCTCACAATTCCCACTGGGCCAATGGCTCTAAAATGCCGGGGATCCCTGCTATAAATACTCTGAATTAATAAAATGAATAAACACAGGGATAGCCCACAGCTCAGTGACAGAGCACATGCATAGAGAGGATCCTTGATTCAATTTTCTGCTTCTCCAGTTTTAAAAATATCAACTGGCAAAGCTGAAAAATATCTCAACTTCAGACTGGAAAGTGATTCCCAGTCAGAGATGATAATATGGGATTAGATGGATCAGTGGTCTCATTCTGTTTAAGTCAGCTGCACAAAATCATTTTCTTTGTATCTGTAGTAACTGGTTGGACATCAGTGGATCATACATAGGCATAGTGGTATGTTAAGCCAAGCCTGATTTACATTTTTGCAGCAAGCTACAAAAGGCCAAAAAAGAACTAGAGAAGGAACGTGTTCAGATTCGTTATACCTGCAGTTTATTTGTTGAGGGAAGCTTCACCTCTGACCACCAATTACTTAATGGAGCAAATTAAGGAGCTCTAGCTGAGCCAGAATACCTCTGTTCTCCCACTTCCAGCCTGCCTAATACTGAGAGACACCATGAGAGGCTTCATAAAAGAATCTCACAGTGTCTTTATGCTTTGCACTACAAGAAGAACTCATACTGTTTCCATTCAAAATTGTGAACAAGAAACACTGGCATTTGCTGATTACTGGAGTCTTATTTCTACTCGATCTGACAAATCTTAGGGAATCAGGAGAGTGCTGTGCCCTAACTACCACCACCTGCATAAGTATGCTGATGGAGATTTATGCTCCTCCAGAATTAAGGAGAATCTTGTCCTTAGGAGTTATAGAAGATCTCAAGTGACAAGTCAAAGCATTAATGTGGTCCAAATGATACAGACCTAAAAGTTGCCTTTCTCCAATGATATAGACATCCTTCTAAATCAAGAAATCAAGCCATCTCATTTATCTATTCCCATTTGCTGAACTCAGTAGCAATCTATTGATGTCATTCAAGGTGACAGGGAGAACTGATACATCCTTTGATTTGTAGAAACAGCCTCTGGCACCACAGTTCTACATCACAGGCCTTTCCCAAACCTTCTCAGAAACAACTCTCAAATATGAGAAGACCTGTTGTTGTGCTTGTACAGTCAGTGCCCATGTTACAAACAAGATAGTTTCTGGAGGCTTGTTCTTGTTGAATTTGTATGTAAGTTGGAACAGGTACATTTTTAAGTGTAACTCCAGCCATGTGTGTGTGTGCATGCATGCATGCAAGCTTTGGATAGTACCGGGAAGGGTAACACTCCTGTGCTGTTTGTTTTGCTGTTTGTGCTCTTGTTCAGAAGATTTCACCTCTTTTTCTATCCCTGTGATAATTGAATATTGAAAAATAAGGCTTGTTGTGGAAACAAGGATTGATGAAAAAGCTTCAATGAGATACTTTCTCCTATAATTCTTTTAGGAGTGAATGTCCCTTCCTAGGGGTACATTTATCTCACTTTCTGTTGTCTCACACCCGCTAGTAACTATGAATTGGATGTTTGTAACTCGGGGACTGCCTGTATAAGTACTGAATTGGACAAAATCAATTGTCATTAGACATTAATCACCAAAAATTCAAAATCTAAGTTAAAGCTTCAAAAGCAAAATGGTGCATTGCAGGACCTCTCAACCAATAAAAGAACATTTAAAACAGTAGTACTTACATAACTGTGCATCTTAAGAACATTTGAAGGACTGCTTGTACAAATTTTATCTCCTTCCAGGCCCATTACTCTTTTACAGATATTTGATTTTGGGTCAGTTGGGTTTTTTGCAATGACAATATCACCTCTGGGGAAAACAAGGTAAGGAAATGTCAACGTCTAGCAATCGGTCAATGACACCATGTACATTAGTGACTGACAACTTTGGGGAATGTGTTAAAAATTAAATCTACAGAATGACCTTTCTGCAAGCTAGATTTGCCTCTAGCTTACTGAACAAAGGAAGTAGGCTGGAGTTTTGTCCTGCCCTGAATCCCATAACCATTTCCAAACACTCCTGCTCTTATGCAGAAGCAAGCCCTTTCTTTCCCACATTTGTAACACCTGTAATATAGACTTATAGACTACTCTTATTTTCAAGGTACTCAGCAATTTCGCCCAAATCTACATCCCTCATTCATCAAAGTAAAATCATTGCAAATAAATGGTTACCCTCTGAACCAAAAAAAAAAAAAAACCCGACAGGAGGAGAATCTTTTTCCTTCTCTGGTAGACAATGACAATTCCATGCTTTCCTCTTTTTAGCTAAAACAAAATGCCTTATATAGTCATATATAAGTAGAAATTTTAGTCAAAAAATGAAGCTAAAAAACTTGAACTGATTTATCCGCAGGTCAAAGTAAGTACAGTACTGTATCTTAACTCTTATCAAAAGGAACCATCCTCGTCATTGACTAGAATGGTAAAAAGTGACAACGTAAGTCTGTTTTGGGAGAAGCTAAAAAATGAATGGACCCCTCTACTTTCTCCACCATGACACTTCTGGTCTTTTAAAATGCAGGGTGGAAAAATAGCATGGGTAGCCAGGAATGTCTCCCCACCCCCTTTCCAATGTTGATGCTGGTGCATTCCCCTCACCATGGAATATCAATATCTGTTTTGATATTATCTATGGATAATATCAAAACCCACAATTTTGGCTCCAAAACCTGCACTTGACTTACACATGAAATTGACTTATATATGAATATATCTGCAAATGTTCAGATAAAAACTCATCCTTTTCTTGACTACATAGAATCGATGAGTCTATTATTCTACTTCTCAGACATATTTCCCATAAAAGCCTTTTTATTGCTACCCAGCAGCAGCATTTGATAGAAAATACATATTTTAGTGCAATGAGCATGTCCTTTTATATAACACTATGCATACATTAACTCATCCATAAACCACTCCTAAAATAACACTTGGGTAATATAATAAAGGACATTTACGAAAAGAATTACTTTGAATTTACTTCCTGTAGATAAACTCTAGCTGGCCATTATAAAATAGAGAAAGATAATCTTAAAGTAAGCACACAACAAACTGGCTTTAGATTAATTCGAAAAAAGCATGGCAAATCAAGGAAGCTTAATGCAAATATAAACTGTTTCTATTAGTTTGTGAATTAAAGAAAAGGATTGGTAGCTTATAAATAATTGCTAACACAGTAAAAAAGGAATACAATTCTAAAAGAAAAGTAAAATATTTAAGGAAACACACACAGAAAACTGGAAAATTAGAGCAACCTACTTCTGAATGTTATAAAAATGGCAGCTAAGATTCTCTGAAAATACAATATCAGAATTTTGAATTGTAGGCTCCATTGAGGGTCCTGAACACTAAAAACAAAAAATAGAGTTCAATTACTATTTGCAACATATTTTGCCTTATATAACATATAATAAATAGATGCTAATTTCGCAAGCCAATCCAGTTCATATATGATAGATTCCCAACGCTAGATTTCCAGACAGTTTTAATGTCAAATTTTAAACTTGCATCTTATGTTTAATCTTTATTTTGTGCATTTTAATATATATTTTATGGAAATATGCTTTAATATGTGTATTTTAAATAATGTTTTTAGATGTATGTGTGTTTTAGAAATGCTGTAATACGCCTCGAGCCATGAGGAGAGGCGGGCAAGAAATATAACTTATTATCTCCAAGTTAGTTTTTTTCTGTGGGGCTTTGTCACTGTAAAAAAAAAAATTCTCTTCTTCTCATATTACAAATATTGGCAACCAGATATAAATTTTTTATTCCCCTGAATTTTTCTATGTTTCACATTAATATGTATGCCAGAGAAGAATTTCCGATTTACTCTCTTACATCAAATCAACCTAAACCTCCCAAGTCTGGCAAAAGCTATCCTTCAGCCCTGTTTGAGACAAGATAGTCTTCTGCAGGGGGCAGGCTCCAGCATAGAATATTTTATTTAGAAGGCTTTTAAAATCTACTGCTTCCCTTTCTGATGATGTTAAAATGTTCCATTAGTTTAAAAGGAAAGTTTAAAGAGGTTGCATAGGCAAAAGCCATTGAGGATGGTAGAAAGATAGGTGCCGCCTCATTATGGTACCTTTGTTATTACAGACTAGATGGATATATGCAAATGCTTTGCAAAGCTTTTAGTTTTAGTAGGCTAGAACCAACTGAAAATGCAGGGCTATGTTTACAGCTGTTTTTATTTTATAATTATGTACCATATCTAAATCTTTTTGTTAACTCACCACAACAATTCCTCCAAGGTATTCAAAGGCACAGTGAGCTATACACCCATACTGAATGGTGTACCCAAGAAGTCGAAAAGTTTTTCCAATGACGTCTTTCAACATAGCAGTGCCACATCTACAGAAAAGGTCCTGGGTTAAAGGAAAAGAAATACACTAGATATTTATTCATTCATTTACATTCATACATTAAAATAATTTTATAGCTTCCCTTTCTTGTGTCTATGCACTACTGATGAGAGTGGGGCCAGGGGACAGTTCCACCTTGTCGCCTATGCTATTCTAATAATATAATAAATATAATATAATATAATATATTGTGTATATATATATAATATTTATAATATTATAATATAATGCAATACAATAATAATAATATAATATTATAATTATATATTTATATTACATGTAATATTACTAATAATATTACAATATAATGGTATGGTGCAATACAGCAATGTTTAATGTTCTGAGAGTGCCTTGGACTGCGAGAAGATCCAACCAGTCCATCCTCCAGGAAATAAAGCCCGGCTGCTCACTGGAGGGAAGGATACTAGAGACAAAGTTGAAGTACTTTGGCCACATCATGAGGAGACAGCAAAGCCTAGAGAAGACAATTATGCCGGGGAAAGTGGAAGGCAAAAGGAAGAGGGGCCGACCAAGGACAAGATGGATGGATGGCATCCTTGAAGTGACTGGACTGACCTTGAAGGAGCTGGGGGTGGTGACGGCCGACAAGGAGCTCTGGCGTGGGCTGGTCCATGAGGTCACGAAGAGTCGGAGACGACTGAACGAATGAACAACAACAATGCTGATATTGTACTATGCTAATAATATAATATATTGTATGTAATATATACCTTGTAAGCTGCGCTGAGTCCCCTTCGGGGTGAGAAGGGCGGCATATAAATGTCGTAAATAAATAAATAAATACTGAGAGCAGTTTACAACTATTTCAATACAATATATAAAGAATTGTATCGTCAACAGTATGCTAGAAATCCACTGTGGCATTGACTAGAGATAACCATGTCAATGTATTACAGCAAAAACAACCTAAGTTTATTATAGAAGGAGCTACCCCACATGCATCTGATTTAGGTAGGTTGATGAAGTTCATGAAAACACATACTGTATTGTCATTCTTTTATGCGGTACTGGACTTTTTGTTGCTTTTAATATAATGTCAAATAGACAAATGCCAAAAAATAGATTGAAACTTATAACAAAGTTGGAAAAGCCTGACAACATGAAAATTCTCCAATAAATGATTCAGAACTATATTCATACAAAAGTACAAAGGGTGTGCGCTTCCTTCCAGAGACAAATGATTCTGTTAACGTTAAAATGTTATTTTCTTACTACAGTGGAGACAACAATGGATACTGGTTGGCTTTGGCACTGCTGTAAAGCAGGACACGAGACTTTCTTTAAAAAAAAGAGCAGACTAACATGGGAGAAGGTGATCTTGGAGCCAAATCATCTGAGAGAAAAGATCATCACCAAAATTTTGAACTGTGGCCAGAAACAACTGGCAGAATGCAGCCATTACAAAATAGGTATAACATGATCCAATAAGCATACGTCTTGTAACAGCATTTACATTCTGAACCAGATAAATTTCTGAAAGATTATTCAGTGGTAACTCTACATAGAGTGGTAGTATGGAGCCTATTTTGAGTACCATGCCAGACCCTCACCAACAATTTGACATTTTGTAGGCCAGGTATCTTCAGATGTAGATGGCTATGTTCTTGAAATCACAGGTTCCCCATCTAGTATTGCAGCCAGGAAACCAGATTTGCTCCACAAGTGCTTGCTCTTCTCCTCACCACTCTTGAGTCTTTCTGAAGCAAATACTGGAGGCACATATTAGGAACTATTATGACGTATTTAAGAAAAGCATTCTGTGGCCATAATTGAGGGAGTGCACGATGACCCTATTAAAGTAGCGCCACTGGCTGCTGATAAGTTTCCGGATAAGTTTGACACAGTAAAATTCAACATATTACACTATGCAATACAATTTTTGTTCCTGGATTATAAATGCCATTTCCTAATTGGTTCTATCATAAAAACATCGAAACAGTTTATTAAACTGCAAAAGCTTTGTTTTTGTGGGACATACTGCAGCACATTTTGCTATAGTTTTTCAATGAATATCTCACAGAGTCTCAACCAATTCAATATAGTTTGTGGCTGCCACAAAAATGAAGTTTCTGGGGTATAACAACTACTTTCAAAGTAAGTACATAATTAAACAGAAATAATACTTTCAAACTAGGAACAAATTATTTTTTCAAATTTTATTACATAGTGTTATAGGAACCTGCGTATTCAAATTACTTTAACTGCAGAAGTTCACCCCATAGAAAATGATGCCTACAGATACAATTTTGTTTTCTTACTTTTATTTTACTACCAGTTACATAAAGTCTTGCACAATCAAGATTTTATATATCAAGTACACAAAAGATTGAGCAGCTTTATTTTAATGTACAATTCACTATTATATAGAGAATGAATAACTATTCCACTAACATACAGTATATTCTGGCGTATAAGACTACTTTTTAACCCAAGAAAATCTTCTCAAAAGTCAGGGGTCGTCTTATACGCGGCTGTAGTCTTATGCATGGGAGTCGTCTTAACTCTATATTTTAACTGGAAAAGTTGGGGGTCGTCTTATACACCCAGTCGTCTTATATGCCGGAATATACGGTAATAGTATTGTTAGTTTGAAAATAATATATACTGTGAGCAAAACTCTACTATCAACTATTTTGCCATTTGTTCCACGAAGAACCAAGAATATGGACCAAAGGGCACACATAAACTGAAACTGTATTTGAACTAATTACACAAATAATCATAGTTTATTCATGAGCCACAGAAAGAGTGTTGTGTTTTAATCATTTCAGGAAATTATAATACTTTGGGCTAAATCCTTGATGTCAGAGGGCAAAATATTAAGTTTAAAACTTTTTTTCAGGTGATAAAAGGAAAGATCAAATGTCAGCAGACCAATCAGTGTCATAGGACAGGTGGGAATCAATGGCCACAAAATAGCTAGCAGGAGCTACGGTGACAAAGTCTCTCCTGCAACAATTGTCACAAAGGCCTCCTTAGCTAGAAAGCAATTTGAGCCCAAAATTAATTACTTGGTAGTTTAATTCTAATGCCAAACAAGTACAACAAAAGAAAGGCCCCAGTCACCTGAGGATGTCATGAGAAAACAGATACATAAGGATGTTGCATGAAAAACAGTGCTTAATAGAAATTGTTTAATATGAATTGTTTTGGAAAAGCACTAAAAGACTTTCGAAAACTGGTGCAAGAGATGAAACTATTTGAATCTTTGGGTTGTTGTAGGTTTTTCGGGCTGTATGGCCCGACAATATATTGGAATCTTCTCATTTTTTGATTTAGCAAAATAAGATTTGAGAGAAATGTTTCATTCCATATTAATTCACCTCCAATTTGATAACATGATAAAATACAGAATTAGTCTGACGTTAAAACACATACACTGAAAAACATTAAGTCCTGTTCATTTCAAAAATATGCTCTTTGTTCCAAAGTCACAAAGACTGTATCTAGTTCAACAACCTGCTATGTAGGAATACCCAGTTACAGCACTCTTGAAAAATGTCAACCCAATCTTTGTTTAATGACCCTCAAAGAAAAAGCATCCTCCATTCCTGAGGTAGTCCATTCTACTGCCGAAGATGTCTTAGTTAAAAAGTTATTTCCAATGTTCAGGTAAAACCTTTTTTCTTGTAATTGAAACCCATTGGTTCTTGTCCTTGTCTCTGATGCATCAAAAACAAGCTTGCTTCATCTTCTACATAGCATCCATTCAGATATTTTACAATGGCTATCGTCACCTCTCAATCTCTTCTCCAAGCTAAACTGATCCAACTCCCTTAGCTTCTAGACTTAAGATCAAAGTGCAGTTCCCTGGACACATTTCTGCTTTCCAATATCTTTCCTGAATTGTAATACCCAAAACTGGACTGTGAAATCTGACCAAAGCAGGACAAAATAGCACTACTAATATCTTTAATCTGGATATTATCATCTTAATGATACCATTCAGAATTGCATTGACTTTTTTTTTGGCTGCCTTATTACATTGTTGACTCATATTTAGCTTGTGATCTATTAAGACCCCAGAACCCTTTGAAATGTACTGCTTTCAAGCTAAATATCATCCATGCTATATTTGTGCACTTCATTCTTCTTGCTTAGCTGCAGTAACATACATTTATTCATGTTGATGACTCCCATCACTATTCTTGCACTCTCCTTTTTAAATGTTTAGTTATTTGTTTTAGGAAGTTTAAATCTGGAGTATAAATTAAAAGGGAGAGAAGTTGCAGCAATCTAATTATGTGAGTCTACTATAGCAGTAATCTCATTGTGTGCATCAAACCTTCAGTGGCTTGGAGGCTATAGCACACCCACACAAGGTTACTGTTGTTTCTCTCCCCTTTAATTTATAATCTGGAGGAACTCAAGTTGTTTTCCATGCTCTCAGGGTCCTTCCACACAGCCCTATATCCTACAATATCAAGACAGAAAATTCCACATTATCTGAGTGTGAACTCAGATAACCCAGTTCAATGCTGATATTGTGATATTTTCTGTCTTGATATTCTGGAATATAGGGCTGTGTGGAAGGGCCCTCAGTCACAGATGTTCTCCAAGGTGACAAACAGCACTACGTCTCCTGTTTGATCTATTTATTTGCAATAAGTTATAAACTTCCATGACATTCCAATCATGAGACTTGTTCCTGGAGGTTTCAGTGATGCCTATTAAATCAAAATCTTCTTCCTGTGCTAAGACACAAAGTTCATCTTATTTCTCATCCTCTGTTCATAAACCTTTCTGCAGAGAAATTGCCATGGTCATTTTAAATAGAAGCAGAAAGGTTTCTATAGTGTGCCTCTCTTAAAAATGGCTGGGACAGTCTCTCTGCAGAGCAGCTTATACAGTAAGTGCTTATTAAAAATGGTCACTATCACTCCACTCCATCTCAAGTGTACAACAGGGTGGTCTCACTGTATATTTCAGACTCCACACATTGCTGAACACTGCTTGGATGTGAGAGGGATAAGGTGAGGAAG